TGTCCGCAGTGCTAAAAACGGCCGTGAGGGTTTCGCATGGTTGCGCGCTGCTGTAAGCTTGCATAAGTCGTAACTGGCGACTCCTTCGCTTTTCAATTCGATCGACTACAAGATCTTTACTGGCATATCTGTGGATATACTTGTGGAACTTATATCTATACTTGTCTCACATATCTTACTTGCAACATGACTTATCGAAGATGCAACTTGACTTACGCAAGTTGTAAGTTCCGTAAGTCCAAGGGCCCTACTTGTAATATTATATGTACACCCAGAGTATCATGTCATGGCGAACTTTCGCGGATCAGAGGCTTCGGGTTGAAGGCTGCTCAAGTTGTTATGGCCTTTAGGGTTCTCGGGCTTATTTTCGAGGCTGTTAGGATTTTTGGGCCTCGGATGGCTTTAAGTCTTTGGAACTTTGGGGTTTAGGGTTTAGGATGGGTTTAGGGTTCCGCGGGTTTCAATTTGAAAGGCTTCGGGTTGCAGGGTTTAGGGTTTAGGGCTCCCGGATCCCTCTAGTCTCGCAGATGGGGGAAGGGCGGAGCTTCCCCTCTCGATCTTCTTTTGCCAGCAACAGGTACCCAGCAACCGTTTTACCCTGGACTCCCGGCTCCCGGAAACCCCCCAAAACTTCAGACCCGAAGGATCCTCAAACCGAAGGAGCCGCCAGACAAAAACCCAACAAAAACACAAAAAAAAGGAACTAAGCCAGCCGCAGGCAAGTACCGTCGGGGCGGGAATGATCGGTAAAATGGCCTTTCCCTTGAGCCACTGATAAGAGTCGACGATGAAACCTGCCTTCAAGCTCTAGTTGAATCACTCGTCTTTTCGTTGTTGTCTTGATGGCTACTTGTATTATTACTACAGTACCCCTAAACCGTAAACCCTAAACCCAACTATTTTTCCTTGCGTTCTCCACCAGGGCTCCAGGCTCGAGATGGAACCGGTCGAGAGCTGGCGTTCCATCGCCAGCCCCCTAAGACAAGGGCTTTTTTGCGGCTTCTTTTCCGGGTGCTGGGGTCACTGTATGAAGGAGTGTTTAATCGCCTGCAGAGCCGAGGTCCGAGGTTTAGGCTTTCTTTTAGGGTTTAGGGTGTAGGTCTGGGAGGTTTTTGTAGGGTTTTTGAAAGGTTCGGTTCAGCCTAAGCTAGGGTCAGCTTCTGGTTCAGGCCTCGGCTGGAATCGACGAGGCAGCTCTCTGTGTCAGGGCGCGAGCGATGCGCTGAGATGTGCTGAGATGTGCTGAGCAGGGGACTTGCTGCGGACCTGCTGCAACGGCAGAAACCTCCAAAAGCTTGCTCAAGCGAAGGGATGGAGAGGAAGAGAGGAAGAGATCCCAAAAGGAACTCTCCCTTTCACCAAGGGCCCAAAATAAGCCAGGGCTCGGGCCTTCTCTCTTGTCGGTTGGACTCGTCCCCCAAAGAGATCTCGGCTAAGCCGAGCTCTTGTAGCAAAGGCCGAGGCTTCCGGGGGGGCCCTGCCTGGGCGGAGCTCGGGTGCGTCTGCGCCTGGATGGCGCGGAGGCCTCGAAGAGACGTCAAAACGTCTTCGCCTTTTTTTTCTTCCACCGTTGCAGAGGACACCCCCAGGCAGCACCCCGGGAAGCGGGCTGTTGATCACAGGACGGAAGTCGTGACATCCGCTGCTAGTCGGACTCCTCGCCCAAAGCAGGCAAAAACTCTTCTTCTCGTTGTTGCTGTTGTTATTGTCGTGGTCGGAAATCATGGCAATGACTGCTAAGCGCTACTGTCGTACTCGGCAATATTCTACATCTTGGGGAGTAGTGAGCAGTCTTTGTTTCCACCTGATGTCACTGGGAGATTTGTATTCATCCACACCGTACCGCTCCTGCACCTTTCGATCATCACCATATCACCATATCACCATCACCATCATCATCAACATCAACATCAGCACCATCGCCAGCAGCAGCACCACCACCACCACCCCAACACCCCCACCACCCCCGCCACCACCACCACCACCACCACCACCCCAACCACACCACCCGCCACCACCCCCACCACCGCCGCCACCTCCGCCACCGTCGCCCCTGCATGCCCCTGTGCCACCACACTGACCATCATGCCTTCTCTCTCAAAAGGCAAGGAGAGTCAGAGGTTTCGGACGCACCTGCAAGCTCCCAGCTTCCATGCCGTACCTGGCAGGACCAGGGAAGGGGTTTATCGGCGTGAGTCAGTCCGAGGTTCGGCAGAGGGGTCTTCTGCAGTTGAGCCGAGGCACCCTGCTTGAAAAGCCGGCAGAACACCACACCCGGAGACCTCGCGAGGAGAGGTTGGAAGGCATGTTGGATGAGCTGGTTTCGGCTCCGAGGCTTCGGTCAGCTGGCTGAGGTTGCTGCGACGGCTTGGACTTGAGGAGGCAAGTCGACACCTCCGACCGGGCTTGGACCCGGACAGGACACAGCTCGTGAGCTCCGTGAGACTTTGGGATGGTTTTACGGCTCAGGGCTTCTGCAAGCGCACCTGATGTCCGGAGCTGAGGACCACGGTGATGTTGTTGTACCTGGCTCGGTGATCCACACATTGCCAAGCCACGCGGCAGCGACACTTCGAGCCCGAATGGACGCTAAACTCGGAAAGCCTTTCTCGCAAAAGTGCGGGAAGGGGTCACTTGCTGAGCTCCTTCCCGGACGGGGATGACACAACTACGAAGATGTCCTTGGACTGGCTCCCAGAAACATCCCGAAACCAGGAGCCCAGTCGCAGCCAGATCCCTTCGCAAATTCTTGTCGTATCTGCTCTTGCTCTTGGTGGGCTTTGCACGAACCAGAAAAAAAACCCTAGACTAGACCCAAAACCGAGGGGTTCCATCAACCCCAAACCCGAAAAGCTTTCATTCCACGAAACATGGGCTGAGGCCGAAGCAGTGGTCGAAGGAGGTAGCTGCTCCAGCTGAACCTGCTTTGGAGAGGGGCTGAGGGTGTTAAGGGGGTTTTGGGGCTTTGGGCCAAAGGGTTCAGGGTTTTGGGTGAAAGGTCTGAGGCTAAGCTAATAAGGGTTCAGTTTTGAGGTTTAAGGGTTTTGGACCTTGGGGTTACCGGATTCAAGGCTTGGGACTTTGACTTTGAGGTTGACAGGTTCAGGGCTTCGGGTTTATTTCAAGGCATTGGGTTTGAGGGTTTGGGGTTTAGGGTTTGGAGATGTGTGGAGTGTGGATACCCCCTGCTGTGGCTGGAAGTTGGCTATGTGCCTCGAAGGTTTGCGTCCCAGAGCGCGGCAGCTCATCCAGCAGCAAGCCTGTACAGAGAAAGTGGAAGAAGAAGTCTCACATAGCATACTCTACTACACCATACTCTTCGGCTCGACTTGAAAAGACGCCTTGGTGCTTGATGGCACCATCCGCCGCATCGCTGACGCCGACCTCGAGGGCTTTTTTGGAGCTCAGAGCTGAGCCGAGCCGAGGGCCTCTGAGCAGCCAGCTGGACCGACCCAAACTCCGTCATAGTCCACGACGCCGTTGTGAACGACACGCACCTGGACGCGAAGCGCTCGGGTAAAAAGGGGACGCGGCCGAAAAGCAAGGTTTGTCATGGGAAAGAAGAGACGATCCTTGCCGATCACTTCCGTAACTTCAAGCCCGAGGCACCCCATGTGCTCCTCGATAGTCGATGATCTGGCAAACAGGAGCATTCAGGTCATTCAAGCACTGCTGTCCTGACCTGCTCTGCGACTGATTACTGCTCCAGCAGAGCTGGAAGGACTGAAGCATGAGCATCGAGCGGCTGGCCATGCAAGATGGAGGCTGCAAACCAATTTTTTGTGACTCCTTGCCTCGTGGTGCGCACATGGCCCGCAAGACAGTGCACAACTGACTTGCAGGCTAATCTGCGCTTTTAGAGTACAGCGACTCGTGCGCATGGCCCAGTGCTTCAGCGAAACGAATGCTGCGCAAAAAACCTTTCAAACATCATGCAAGCTGAAATGGGCTGTTTTCCGGAACAAATCAACTGTTCGGTTTGCGCAGAAGCTGGGCGATCCTCGTCAGGGTACGTTTCCAAACATTTTCTGAGCATGTCAAGTCTGTGAGGACTGCCTTCTGCAAGTGCGAATGTGTCGTGTGCAGCTTGGTGAGAAAGGCCTCAATGCTCAGCAGCGGCATGTCTTTCTTCGACTCGCATTGCTCGCGAACGACCTGATCAACCATCCCAAAGTCTGCAACACCGTCCTTGCCGAGGAACGCATAGCAGGTGCACAAGACCTCTTCCTGAAGGAGGGAGTCGAGCTTGCGGAACTTCCGAGCCCCGTCATCACACGAAAGTACCCCACTTCCCTCGACGTCGTTGCGCAAACGCGCCCAGGCTGCAACTGAGTGTTGGATAGCAACGAGGCTCCACTTGTTACTCAGCTTCAGGGCCTCATGCACGGGGTCCACGAAGTCGGGGTAGGCAAGAACACGTCCAAGTTCGGCTAGGGACGACTGGAGGGCTGTGGCATCAGATGTCATCTTTGGAATGTTGGGGGTGGTCGTGCCGCCTGGCAACGGCGCTTGGGACTCTGGCCGTGTCTTCGAAAGAGCATCGTTGACCATGCGGGGAACTTCCATCAGGCTCGGGTAGAAATTCTGCTCGCTGAGATCCACTAGACGGCCTAGGTTCATGAGGACGTTCTGCATGTCGTCATCTTCAACATTGCCGCACACATTCCTGGCGAACTTCTCCCAGCTATAGTAGTTCGCCATCACCTCGGCAACCACATCAGATTGTACCTCAGCACGGGCAGCGCTTACAAAACCGAGTGCTGACATGCTATAGCTGCTAGAGGTGTATCGATGTTGGTAGTCGTATCGATTCTCCTCACCTAGTCTACATGAAGTACGGGTGTCGGTTCAGGAATTTGGCACCGGGTCCACACAAACTTGAGCGGTCCTCCTAAATTCAAAAGGCCCCGAATCCTGCTAGTCGCGCACCTTGTAGTATGCATTCCGTAGTTGACTCAGCCGTGTGTTGTCGCTGTCGACGATGACCGCCAGGTAGTCCATGATGACCTGCGTGTCCAGCATCGTGCGGAAACGGCCCATAGCTTGCCACACCACTCTGTCACGCATCAGCAGCTTGGAGTCCTTGAAAGCCTTGTGCAACTTGTCCCTGTCAACGAAACCGACCAACCTCCCGATGGACATCACGTCCGCACCCAACCGCTCAAGCTGCATCCAGGCTTCGTGAGCATAAGCCACTGCTGTCTGTCCCGCTTGCAAACTTTTGATCAGGTCTTCGCGTACCACCATCAGCAGGCGCTCGCTTTTATTGCAAGCGGTTATGCGCTGGAGCGCAATGTGGAGCTCGGGCGACAGGCTCATGCTGGAAACTCGTGGGAGCTGCTTCTCAACCGCGCTATGACCACAGACACAGCTTCACCTCTTGTCGAGAAGCACTGCAACGAGCCCTAGCCTACATCGTATATGCGATGGGATCACTGCAGTGCAGTAAGCGACTGTACTAACTTGTCATTGAATGGACCTGGAGCCATGAGTGCCACATTTACCGATGCGATGCAACGCACCCGACCAGGTGTACTTCAACTTCCTGGCGGAAACTGCATGAAACTGCATGAAGCAACTCTAATGATGGTGATGATGATGAGCATGATGATGATGGTTCCTGATGTTGATGTTCCTGATTGCTGGTCACGATAATGATTATGTTTATGACCATGATGACAGCGATTATGACGGAAAAGACTGTAACGACTGCCATTAGTAATGACTTTCTGGACTGTGTCGTTGATGATGATCACGACCAGCACGACCACAGCATGGATGAGGACGAGGAATGGGATATTGATACTGCTGATGATGGTCAGGCTCTTTGTCCGGCTAGTGTTATGACGATAGCCGATGTGATAATGGTGATAAGGATGGTGTGAGTGAATTGCGTTGTCGTTCATGCCTGCAGGACTCTTTCACATTAACAGCAGAAGGCATAAGCCCTGTGACCGCAGGCCTCCTGAAGAGAACGGCCCGCGAAAGTGATGAGGGTTCCGTCCTGGGCGCACGATGCCGGACGAGAACAGTACAGGTTCTGTAGCCTTGCAGAGGTTACGCAGTGACCTCCAAAGCTCATCCAAATGAAACTCCAGGTTTGATCACTTTGCCAAGCGAGTAAGCCACCAGCAACAGATCTGCTTGCAAACAAGCAAACACATAAACAAAAAAAAATACATAAAACATACATTCACATACCAATGCGTGCACACGTATGCATGCTCAGCACTGCCCCGCCCTCGTGTATACCAATTTGACGTGAATTCTGACATACAAGTCCTGTGCACATACGGCAATAGAACGTTCATGAAGAGGGACCGACACACCTCACATTGACATCTTCCCGCGCGGACTGTCATGTGTACGGGAAACATGCTCTTTCATCTTTTATCGCACAAGATTGCTTTCCATTGGATCGTGATGAAAACTGTGATTCAAAAGGAAGTGGCTCCGAAGCAATCAGACCAAGCTGTGAATTGACAAACTTAAGACAGCTGGAGCTTGGATCGACTTCCTTCGCATCGCTTAGGCCTTCCGGAAACCAATGCTTATCAACGACAAGACTTAACAAGATCAAGATTCTCTTGCCATATATTCGACCCGGGTTGTTGACAGACGTGATTCCTCGAAGCGTATTGAAAAGCTGATGATTGGAACTAAGGTATGCATGTAAACACTCAGCAATTTGTGTGAAAATTGGAGCGTGGTGTCAGCTTGAACTGTACAGTCGCTTGCATAACTTGATTTTCTGTTTGCCTGGTTAGCTAAGAAAACACCTGCTTGCTCAAATCAAGACGATCGATGCTTGCACTTCCATGAATAGGCCGAATAGAGACTAGAGCGCAACAAGCCAAGAGGAAGGCAAGCCAAAGGGCGAACCAACATGATCTAGGAACAATTCCCAAACTGTGAAACTGGGATTTGACTCGTTAAACTTCTCCCCGCACGTCAACGAATCAAAACATGCATCACAAAAAAAACAACAAGGACAGCACCCAGAACGGCTTTACTTTTGTGTTGGAGGCGAGCTCAAATTCAGTCGAACATGGCCAAATCCTGTCTCATATTCACCCTGCAAGCAACATTGCTGAACCCTTTGCAACTATTCGAAATTAAGTATTCTTCTGAATGAGAAGATGGCTCTTTGCAGAATTAGGTCAGGTCAACAATGATAGATATAAGCACCAAAGTAGGTACATGCGGCGAAATAATACTTGCATGTGTACATTTATGGGATTTTACTGGCGAGAGCGGGAGATAGAGAGACGAAGAGGGAGATGGCAAGACAGGAAGATAGATAGACAGACCGAAAGATGGATAGATTGGTAGGCGGGCAAGTAGATAGATAGGTAGATAGACAGGTATGTAGAGAGCTGGATAGACAGATAGATAGATAGATGGATGGATTGATAGATAGATAGATAGGTAAATAGATAGATAAGTGGTGCAGAATGACATAGAGAGACAGGCAGATAGATTCTAGATACACAGGCAGACAGACCGACAGACAGACAGGCAGACAGGCGGACAGACAGCTAGGTAGGTAGGTAGGCAGGTAGGTGGGTGGGTGGGTAGGTAGGTAGAGAGACAGAGAGACAAACAGATAGATAGGTAGGTAGATAAATAGGTAGGTAGGTAGATAAATAGATGGATAGATAGGTGGGCAGCTTATACAAACAATTGAGAGCGATATCTACATATGTATGTATGTATGTATGTATGCATTTATATAAATATATACATATATAGCTATGTAGACATACATACATATGTACTTGCTTACATAAAACATGTATACAGTGTCTGTGACATATGTTTTTTTGTTCCAGAGCCATCGCGTTTGGTGTTGCTTTCGGCAAAACTACGGCATGTCGATATGGTGAACGTGGCCTCAGGCCCCGGCCAAGTAGCTGTGATCCTTGTTATCGGTGCGCTTGACCTCGCCAAACTCCCAGCGGACCTCCGCAAGCAAGCAAACGTGCCAGCTGCTGTGTGCTGCGAGCATTTCTTTACGGCCAAGGCACAAAAAAGGAAGCTCCTGCTGAGTCTTTTCCGAACCACAGGAGCAGATGCGGCCATTATGCCATCTGTGCCATCATGGATTACTGTACTGTATATTGTGGTAGATGGATAGTACAGTGTAGTGTACTATACTAGGGAGCCATTGTGCGCCAGTGACCGAAGCCGAAGCGCCTCAACGCGGAGGTCGCCGAGTGGCTTCACAGCCACAGGGAGGATCCTGGAGAGCTCACAGCTTGACTCGGAGTCTTCGCATCCGGAGCAGCAAAAGAAAAAGACGGTGATTAAGGTTTGCGCGTACATATATTGATAATATATAGATGTATGTTAATGTATACAGTGTATATATATATATCATATATATATATACACACACTCCATGCTACCCACAGTGACAGGGATGCAGAATGTCACAGGAGCCGTGTAGACCGGGAGTTTGAAACTTCTGCATGGCCTCAGCCTCTCCGGCTTGACCTTCTCGTTGGTGAACCGGAGCATCTCCTGGGATACTATAGTATACTATGATACTCTAATTCTATGATACTATGACAGACCCCGAGGCTCTAGTGTATCCGCTTTCTTTCAATGCACATGCGACCCGCAAGCGGGCCGAAGAGGCTTCAGATGTCTCGCGGCCAAGAATGCGACACTGACGCTGACGACCGTGACGCAGCTCACCAGCGTGGCTGCAAGGGGCTTGGGGGACTTCCGCGCCGGGATGACAAGCTTTTCAAGGATTCCATAGCTCCTCGTAGCTCGCTTTGCAGGTTTTCACTATACTTTTAGAGCTGGTTGCCGAACGTGCCAGTTTATGGCTTCTCTGGAAATCCACGCGAAGATCGCGGCCAACGGTGGCGTGCGCCGTACGCTCTTGGGACACTTACGTCCACAACCACATCTGGAAAGGGCTGACTGTTGCATATGCAAACTCACGATCGTCGTCGTCCTCGATATCGAAATGCTGTAACAGTCTTGATGTGCGATCGAAAGATCGCTTGTGATAGACCTTCACTGCAATATCTCTGTGGCCATGCTACCTATTTCGAAAAAGGAGACGACGAAGTGTGATGTTTATGGCACCCTCAGCCCTGAACTATCATGTTTTGCTGTGCTGTACTGTGCTCTACTCTACTGCACTCGTCTAGTCTAGTCTGGTCTCGTCTCGTCTAGCAGAATACAGTAGAGCACAGCAGAGTATGGTATAGTATGACACAGTATAGTGCATTGCAGTCAGTCTAGTGGAGGTTCAGAAGGGGTATAGCATAACAGAATATTACATCATATATCATACATCATATATCATATATCATATATCTTATGTCATATATCATATATCATCTAGTATGATAGTATGATAGTATGATACACAGCATAAAAAAAGCAGCTGGGCTGCTCTTACCTATGGAAACCCCCCAAAAGCGCCTCGAGGATCGCCTCCTTCAGCTTCGGCATCTCCAAGCTCTCCTTCAGCTGAAAGCCTGTGTTAGGGTTTAGGGTTTAGGGGTTTAGGGGTCTAGGGGTTAGGGGTTTAGGGGTTTAGGGTTTAGGGTCTAGGATGGTCTCGGGTCTATAGGAGTACTAAAAGGCTTCCTGGTGGACTTTTTCATTGGCTTTTCGGAGAGAGGCGGCTACAGCTCAGGACTCAACGAAGGTCTTGAGAGGTTCACAAAGTGAAATCAGGAATGATCCCCGTCACGGCATTGCATTGCTCTCCTTCGGTTCTGAAATATCCTGACTACGTATCACTTCCCTGTTAAGTTAAGACCCTCAAGATTCCCTGAGCCACGGGTTCCCACATGGCCGTGCCTTTTGCCATCGCTTCGGAGGCATCTCGGCGGGAAAGGAGGTCGGCTTGAGGGGGTGGAGGCTTTCGTCGGGGTCTTTCAGGCGCGCTTTGAGAGAATTGCCTTGCCAACTCTTTCGTGGAGTTCTGAGCGCTTCGCCACTCAACTCCTCGTGCTCGGAAGTTGTGACCTGCGGTAATTGCAAACAACATGAGCTCTTTTCTTTGTCATGTTGCCAGTTCCTGCCTCAATGGCATATTGGACGTGCATGCAGTTCGAACCTCAGAAAAGACCACACACGTGAACATCTCCGCACGACCAAGGAAAGAAACATGCATTCATGTGCTGCTGCTGCTGCTGCTGCTGCTGCTGCTGCTGCTGCTGCGTTTAAGACCACCACCACCACCACCCACCACCACCACCACCACCGCCATTCCCACGACAAGGACGACTACCACCACGACAAGAATTACAACGATGACAGCTCCACCTCTTTCTCCCACTGTTAGTCTAGAGCCACTATCAGTTCCACCACGACGACGACGACGCTTCCTACATGCTTCTGTTGTTTTGGCTGCGACTGCCCCAAGCGGCAAGGCGGCAGGGAGTGATGAGTGATGTCTGCGAGCTGGGGTTCCGACTGTCCACATGGACATCTGCGGGCTTCACCTATGCTGCATTTCGGCTGCGCCAAATCGGGCAGGGCCGGGGCTAGACTGGCAAAACCCTGTCCAGAACATCGCGCGAAATTCAGGAATCACCCCAACGGGGATCCAGCTTTCAGGGAGGGGTGTCACCAGGCGTCTGCGTTGAAGCAGCTGTAGCGTCGCGGGGAGGGGCACCGGACACACCCCACACTTCCCCCCCCTGACTCTCGAGTTCCCTGCGCAGTGCCGGGGCAGCTCCAGGTGCTTCCGCACCGCTTCGAGCACCATGTGCTCCTGCAGTTCGGGCCTTTAACGCATGAAAACATAGTGTACAGCATAGGGCCCCCAAGGGCTTAAAAATTACAGTTTAGAGGGCTTGCTGCTCTCTCAGCACGAGGGAACCCTGGGTCCAAAAGGCTCGGAAAGCTTGCGAACCCTGCACGTCGAAGACTGTCCTGTGAAGCTCGCTCGTGCTTGCGAGGGAATCCCAGCCTAGAGGCGTGCACGTGGGTATTGCTTGTCTGGGTGCAAGGGCTTCAGGTGCCCCTAAAAACGACTGCGCCATGACAAGGGAAGCCATTACATCTAGTAGGTACAGAGTGAATCTGTGGGGTTGTGTTTCGTGTGATCTTCGGTCTTGCATTGGAGCTTTCGAGCTTGGGGGAAGAGTGTTCGGGGATTTAGGATCCTGCCAACATGTGGAGGCTGTAAGGTTCCAGTGTGAAGCTTCGAACTTTGAGATTAGACTGCGGAGGATTGGGCTTTACGCATCTCTGCAACACAAGCCTGTCATGTCACTAGGGCGGTCGACACGACAAGCTCCGGCTGTTCTTCGGATGAGCTGGGCCCAGCCACTCTTCCAGCTTCATCAAGGCCGTCTTCAGATCCCGCGGAGAGCCGGAACCTTTCGAAGGATGAGAGCAGACGGAGTCCTCAAAGTCTGATTCCTCCACCATACCCTCAGGCCGCAGCAAGTCACGTCCATGGATCCGATCCTCCAGTAGCCGTCACCTCCAAGGGAGCAGGCTTCGCTGCTTCAGCTTTGATGACACTTCTCTTGGCCCCTGGGTTTCCGAACCCAACTTGTAGATCACACACATGATGACCACCGCCTGCCACAGGCCACACTTCTCCGACAAGGCCCCTGGACCTTCATCTTGGCCTCGAAGGTAAGCTGAAGTCTGTGGTCCTGGAGTCGCAGCAGGCAGAATGCCCCACACATGTGCACCACTGGCTGCCTCTATGAGAGGCGTCCCTCACTCCTCCTTGTGGGCGAGGTTGGCACCGATGTCACTGTCCACCTCAAAAGGAGCTCCGCTCTAGGACTAGGGCTCCGGATTCCGGATTTGCCCATGAGAGAAAAAAATCCCTCACCCCCCATGTTGCCCTCTTTCCGATCCCTAAGGCACATGTCCCATCGCAGCACTTCTGGTTCTCGAGGCCGACGGCCAGCTATCTGCACTTACGCGCCGCTCGTTGTATGTCCATTCATCTACATCCACAGCTCTACTATTACTATATTACTATTATTACGACAAAGCAAAAAAAACAAAAAAACATGCTAATATTACCATTATTACTATTGTTACTATTGCTACTACTGTTACTATTGCTACTACTGCTACTAGTGTTACTGTTATCACTGTTGCTTGTCTTCCGGCCAGCTCCTCTGCTGGCGCTTGCTGTCCCAGTCACGACGCGGAAGCCCAGGTGCTGGAACTTGCTCAGTTCCCGGGAGTTGGTGGCCTGGGGAAGAAAGGAGCAAGGGGGCCACGTCATGAGGGGTTTCCGGCCAGGGCCCTCCAGTCTGGGTGTTGAAGATGCTCAGCATACTTGCAACATTTCCCGGCAGACGCATCAACGCTGACCTTCCGATTCGGTTGCTCCTGAGCCCTTGCCTTCCAGTACGAAGGCGCATGGAGCACGGCCCCAAGAGTTTGAAATACATGACATGGGAGGTCGCGAGGGTAGCAGGTGCGGATGGGTGGGTCGCGAGTGGAGTGGAGCAAAGAAAAGCCACATGAGTGAAGAAGTGTTACATGAGTAGAGTGGGTGAGCGGCTAGAAACGATGGGAGCGAACGAGCGAGTGCCTTGCATTGCCACTTGAACCTGCGCCCTCCGAGATCAGCGAAGCCGATCTACAGTCTGCAGAAGCATTAATCAAAGGACAACCTGCTCCGTTCTTTTTGACCGTTCGCGTCGTGACATAGTATAGATATGATATCTTACCATCTCATGTCATATCATATCACATCCCATATGTATCTCCATATATATATATATACATATATATATACACACATATGCATATATTATAAGCTTAGCCCCCAACCGCCAGGACGAAGAAGAGGTCTGTGACGCGCTCGGGCAGCAGGTCGAGCCTCACCTTCTTTTGGGCGTGAGGTTTCAGTGGCTTGGGGCTTAGAGTTTAAGGGTTTCGGGTGGCACATCAAGATTCCCAGGTCTGCTCCTGCTGCCTCTTTCTCTGTCCAGCCTGCATCAGCTGCTTGCACAGCATCTGCTTGTCGAGGGTGGACCTGGAATGAAGCTCGGGTGCAGAGAAGCAAGGAGCCTGATTCATGTGCAGGTATTCAACATGCCCAAAAATCAAAAGCAGCCTACATAGTACCTGACACCCTAAACCCTGAAGCTACTACCTGCGATCCATTTCACAAAGCCGCACATGAAATCCGGAGCCTCGATGCTGCAATCCAGAATTCTGGAAGGGGGGGGGTCATCGGAACTGGAACAGGGTCTTGCTGCAAGAACAAAGCAGGGAAGCCTATTTAAGGGAGTTACGGTTGATGATGTATAAATCCGCATTCCCCATAATTAAGGAATATAGAGCATACTTCCCATACTGTATAGCGTCCTTAAGGTAATGCAAAGGATTTA